TACTACTACTGCTACTACTACTATCACCACCGCTACTACATCTATTACTACTGCTATTACTACTATTACCACCGCTACTACTACTACTTCTACTTCTACTACTACTATTACCACCGCTACTACTACTACTTCTACTTCTACTACTACTATTACCACCGCTACTACTACTACTTCTACTTATACTACTACTATTACCACCGCTACTACTACTGCTATTACTACTATTACCACCGCTACTACTACTACTACACCAGCACCGCCGGCATCGCTAGCATCCTTTGAGGAGATTAATATTCATCCCGTTTCATCTTCTTTTCTATGTCTCTTGAGGCTCTTTTGGTTGATGGCTTAAATGTATGTGTTTGGGTGTATATATGTATGCATGTTTGTATGTATATGTGTGTGTGTGTAATATAAATTATATATATATAAATATATATATATCTTAAATATATATAAATATATATATATATATATATATATATACATATATATATACATATATACATATATATATACATATATACATATATATATATATATATATATATATATATATATATAGTATATATATATATATTATATATATATATATATATATATATATATATATATGTATATATATATGTATATATGTATATATATAGTATATATATATATATATATATATATATATATATATATATATATATGTATGTATGTATGTATACGCATATATACTTACATATAAAGTGTTTCCCTAAGAATCAATCGCAGAGTCACGGGCGTGGACCCTCGCCTCGCGCCCACACCGAAATCGCAGTCATCATCGTCATCGCCCCCTCATCACCGCCGCCGCCGCCCGCACCCCTGTCATCACGTCCTCTGCACCCACACCATCACCCCCTCCCCCACCCCTCACTATCTCTGCCCCTCCCCTTCCCCCTCCTCTCCCCTTAACAGTGACAGGGGGTGGGGTGGGGTGGGGAGGGGAGAAGAAAGCGGGGAAGGGGTGATGGGGGGAGGGGAGCGGGGGGAAGGAGGAGGGGGGAGGGGGGAGAGGTGGAGGGAAAGAGGAGAAGTAAAGAGGTTGAGTAAGAGGAAAGGGAAAAGAAGAGAGAGAAATGGAGAAGGAAATTAAGGAAAAGGGATTGGAAAGAGAAAAGAGGGGAAAAGGAGGAGAAAGAAAGGGAATAGAGGAGAGAAGGGGGGAAAGAAGATACGAAGGGCATGGGAGAAGGGAAATGTCGAGAGGAAAAGTGGAAAGGAAATGGGGAAAGAGAAAGGGAAGAGAATAAGGAAAAAGAGAAGATTGAAAAAAGTGAAGGGGGGGGGGGGACGGGGAGAGAAGGAAAGGGAGGGGGAGAGGCAGAAGGAGAGGGAGAAGGAGAGAGAGAGGGGGAGGGAGAGAGAGAGGGGGAGGGAGAAAGGGAGGAAAGAAGAGAGGGAGATGAGAGGGAAAAAAAAGGGGGGAAGGGGAAAGATGGCAACAAAACGCAGGCAAGGGGGGATGGTGGGGGGGGGGGAGAGAGGCAACGCCGGCAATGTGTGGCAAGGCCAGAAGGTGAAGCGGTGGGATGGGGGGCGGGAGGGGGGAGGGAGG